TCTTGCCGGTTTATATCGGGGATATCTGGTGAACATTTGCCGTTTCCTAACGCAACGCATCTGTTTCAGGGGCAGACCTAAGGACCCCTTATCACGCTATCCGGTTTAGTAGTCCCACAATGCACTATCGATCGGTACAAGCCGCGCGAGTGATGAGATCAATCAGGCCGCCAGCCGCGATTAGTGCTCTGGCAATCCCGGAAAGCCACTTGACATATTACCTCTCAAGGACAAAATCTGATTGGTCCAATCGCACCTGCCTGTACATGCGTTGCTGCCTTATATACCCTACGCTACAATTTGGCAAAAGCGAAATCTTGAGGTCTAACAAATTGTGGGCTACATGACATTATTAATGTTCAGCTTAAAGACCACTTGGCATCGTATCCCTTCGCTGAGGCCAAAATCTGCTTGACCCAATGTATACGCTCTGATTGCTATTAGTACGCTGTCCTATGTATGCTAAAATGCATCTCCTTTTACGCGTTTCATGTTGTAATCTTCCTTGGGAACGCACACAAGACGTAATTAGACGGGGATCTCTCGAGTTTGGGCTAACAATCTGTCCCGCTCTGCCTCCAGTCTCGACAGAGGCCCTGGAAGCCGTAGTAACTGGTAGTAGAGACAGATACTATTGGCGGCAAAGACAGGGAAGACTGGAATGGCCATTTCTGACTTAAAAGCCATCATTTGTTAGTCATACCCAGTCAATGAGTGTTAACCTCACCGTTTATTTCATGCTCCTCCAGGATCTCCTGGCACCGCGCAGAATTGGCCTCCCAGTAGATCTCCATATCGGGCACCAACAGCTGCCCATCACCCGCACACAGACCCGTGACTTGGAGGGTTTTGCCCGCCTGGGAGTCGACGAGAGCGCTGTGCAGGCGAAGGCGATAGGCACAGGGCTGACTGTCAGACAAGTCGGGTTCCACCTCCTCCTCCTCCTCCGCCTCGTCTTCTGTCACCTCGACGGCGGCGGTGGCGTCCTTTCCGCTTTCCATCATGTCCACATGATTCGTTGTGGACCCAGAGTCCTCTGAGGGGACAGCGAGGAAGGGCAGTGTGTCCGCGTGATCCTCGGCAAAGCCCTTCACCGCGGTGGAGTGTGTGCCCGTGACATATATTATTGTGGGTTTTGTGTGCAAAATTTCATCAGAGTCCTCGCAACTAAAAAAACAGAAAGGATTGACCAGACGTTCGTTTTCTATCTAGAAAGAAACAGCTTCTGAAAAGGGGATGTCTATCAGGGAGTAAAGTGGTCATTTGAACCTGCCTAATCAGTAGCATTGCTAAAATTTGCAAAAGACTGAGTGATTTGACGGATTTGCGTTATATGTTTGACACGGATAGTTTTCATGCATTTTAAGCTTATGGTAAGTGATCTTTCAATAACCATTCGACACTCTTCATCTCTCGGATGCTTACGCCTTTTGGTTTATAGGCAAAATTGACTGGTAGGACCCCTCTAGATATCTATCGACCCACCCAACTGCTTAAAGTATTCTGGGTTAAAAATTTAACTATTGGCTAATGAATTTAAATTAATATGTAATTTTGGCGGAAGTGATCGAAAACATTAAATTGATATAAGTTGATGTTTGCTTTAATAAGCTAAAATAGAATAAAATGCAATCAACACGAACCTCTGTTGCGCAGGGTTCGAATGATAATGAAGGAAAATTCAAACGTATGTAGGCAGAAATTAACTGAAATTGAAATTCATCCTCCTATTGGTGGAATTTAACGCAAAAATTCTAAGTTTGGCTATTGAACATTAAAAAGTAATTTTTTTTATTATAAGTTGACGGGATTTTTGGGGCCTCTAAAATCAGTCCTGCCGGTTAATATTTGTTACGTGTCTGCATGAAATACTCTGGACTAGAACCCTCTTTTTCCAAAGCGAAAGCAGGATGATTATCTGAGCATAGTTCACAAAGGATGCAGCCATTATGCAACTGCTGGAATGTTCAGTCTACAGACTCACTGAGTTTCTAAAGAAATCGTAATCCTTCATTGCCTGGTACCTGGCGTACGGCTTATGGCCCCCTGGTGTCTTTGTTGGTTCTACGACATCCCATATTACAAGTCTTTATGCGACTGCCTGCGAGGGCTCTCGATTAAGCTTTTTGGGAAAATAGAAGGAATATGTTCTGTAACCAGATTGGTGAGCGCTGTAGAATTCAAAATCTTTCTTAAAATGTCCCGTGGTGCAATGTTAGAGTGTTGCACTCAATGATCAAATGTCCCGGGTTCGAATACCGGAGGTTTTCCCCTCTGGCATAAGATATGACTGGTTAATGACGGCTAAGAAGTCAAAAATAGTCATTTGTTCGCCTTCGTCTTTGTGGGTTACACTTATAGGATTGGCTACCCCTAGCTGACGACGGCCAATACAGCCAAAATTAGCTATTCAAGGGTTGTCGCATTTGCCGGAATACTACTATTACATAAAGATATGTTATCGGAACTAAATAGGTAACACTATAATCCGTAGTCTTGCGAATAAAAACTCGGTAAGCCCGAGTTTGTGAGATATCATCGAGAATGGATACATCCCGAAAGACAGATCGGTGTATAATTAACTACTACTTCATATATATATGTTTAGTTTTTTTAAATTTTTCTTCGACATTTATTTCTGTTCGCTTTCAACATCAGATTACTTAAGGTCTATAGGCAAATACCAAAATCGTTAGTGTATATTTGGGTTGAAAACGTGGGTACTGGGTATGGTAAATTACAATGTCCGTACATAAAAGTATAAAGTGGGCCCGTCAGAAGACCGAATTTCACGCCTGCGGCAGTAGGCATAATCATCGATCTTCCGGATGCTTATCAGGCGTTGCGCGAGGAAATCAATGCCAGAGTTGATTTTCACTACCAGCAGGGGTTAGCCAAATACGCAGTGAGGCACACTGTTTTGTATTCCTTAACAATGGGTTCGCGTAAGTTTTAAATGGCGGACAAATAAACAATTGGTCCCAGTAGTAAATTTATGGAAAGAATAATTAATGTAGACTTGTAATATCTTACGTAATGTGGCCGGTCAAACGGAGCGCTGTCGGAGATTTCTTTCTGGCAAGTCGAGATTCGAGATTGAGTACGCGCAAACGGCGAAGTAGAAGCACCACTTGCTGGGAGTCGAAGCTATCAATGAGGATGCTGTTGAAGGGCGTCTCCCAGGTGACTCTCGTATCCGGGCTGATGCCTCGAAATGCGCCAGAGTCCAGACTGAAGCGTGCGTGACAGTCGATGAAACACTGCAACTGTTCAGAGTCTAGGAATGTGCCACGCAGCAGTGTAAGTCCCGCCAGATCTCCCTTAAACAGGAGAGCAACAAAAATCAAAAGTTAGTGGCCATCAGCACGCTCGACATTATTCCTTAATTTTCACCTCAATAAAAATAACAAAATACGATGATAATAATAAAGTATAATAATTTATATCATATAATTATAACAGTTATAACAATTATTCAATTATCCAATTATCCCACCGAACGCCTTGAGTTTTTCACAATTGGCTCAACTCAATGTAAGC